AATAACAAAACGATAAATTGAAAGTTTTGATTTATTGTTTTCGTTAAAAAGTTCATAGGCGGCCCAATGCAATTTCTTTTCCCCTTTCAATTAACTCCTTCACCACTTTCGGTACTGATGTTACTGATCGACCTCTCAGCACTACTAAGTAGGGGCCGGCTGGTTGTATGGTAATTTTGTAAACACCACCGACTAAACCTAATAAATATCTTCAAATTCATTATACGCGACCGGTACATCTCAATTTGCCATTCTCTCGAAAATTACACAATTTTGCATAAGTAATTACATTTACCTAATACGTCATCTGAATAAATGGAAAGAAGTATTTACAGCACGCGACAGCGGGTAAACAATAATCTGTTAATTAACAGATAAATAATTTAATCGTCACGACTCACGAGGGTGTATGAAGAGATGGAAGCCGAAGTCCGTGCGGTCTCTTCGCAACATGTACTGAAACTGTTTAGTGGAATTAACGAAAATTGAATATTCAGTTTATGTGTACACTGTTTAGTGTTGGTTTAGGAAAATCGTTCTAGCTAGATACCTAACTGATGAACTATCACGACTGGCCGAATCCATTAGGTTTCGAATGCTCTCCGTGTCATTTGAAAATTAATTCGCTCCACTGGAATGTAGCACGTTTCGTACTAGTGATCTTTTTTTAAAGGATCGGTGTGCATTCAAGTGGTTACTGCAGGCTGCCTTGTAAATAGTAGGTGTAATATTTACTAAGACTGGATTGAATTTAAACAATGCAGATTATCGTACACTCTAATTTTCCTAGTGCTACAGTTAAGGGATAAAAAATAAAAAGGATGCATCGTTAATCTTATTTTTAAAATCTTTAATAATTCACTCCACTCTTGCGTTTTCTGTGCTAATATCAACAAAGATACACATACTTACAGTTACATATAGACCACTTAAATTTAACGAGAAAACGCTTTCCGTAGTTATGTTGGCATGTTAGTATATCTGTAGAAAATTTTATTTTTATTTATATTGTTTCATTATATTTATATTTACATTATGTTATATTGGTCATTTGTCAATCTTGTTAGTTGTTATTCTTTTCTATGTAATTTCTGCTGTTACAATTTATGACAAATATTGCATACATTTCTCTACGGAATGTACTGGCATAATATAAAAATATACAAATAACTACGAGTGCGGATTTTATTATTTATCACTCCGGCATCGATGTTAAAACTGAGACTAAACACAATTCAATTTGCTCTCCCTGGTACTGAAAAATTCTTCTTATGTGTACTTTTTACCATAATTATAGTCCAGGCTATATAATATTTGTTTACAAAAAAAAAATTAGTTACCAGTTCAAACCGAGTTTAGAAATTGGGGAAAACTAATTAAAGAATTTTTCCGCGGGTGAAATCACGGGGGTTGAAAGGGATGGAATCTGGTATTTTGCAATTTGTGGCAAAACTTTTATTTTTAGGCGAAAATGTTCAATATAGAATGTAGAACAACTGAACTGTATATGCACTATTTACACATAACCTCCAATTTTCCTAGAAAAACCAGAAAATCCTTTTTTTTCGATTTTTATTCTTATATTTGCGAAAAAAAGTCGTAGGGGTTTGAAATTTGAAGTAAATATAGTTTGTTTTATGATAAAAAAGGAGACAATTTTTTTGGGCTCGTAAAGTTGAACCGTTTCCGAGATCTCACGATTTCTGAAAAAAACACCTCTTTTTCAAGCGGATGAAAAATCTATTTTTTTTCATCGTATAGAGGTGCGCGGGGTAGCAAAATTTTCGGGAAGACTTATATTTTAATAAACAAAAATAAAAAAATATTCCTATAGCAAAAATTCGAGAAAATCGCCAAAAACTGGAAAAACAGTTTTAAGATATACACGGTTTTTGACATGATAAATCAACGTGTTGGATGTTAATAAAGATTTTTTCGAAATCTGTCTTCTTGCTTCTCTTTAATGTTTGCTTAAATATTCTCTTTTGTTATCTTATGCTCAACTGTTTTAGTTAAAACATCTTTATTATTTCTTTTTTCTGCATTTTTACCGCAATAAACGCAATTCGAAATAAAATCGAATTATCTTCCTGATTCCTGAACAATTTATTTTTGTTCACTGACTCTTCTTCCTGCCTGTTTTATAGCTATCTGATGCAATTGCAATAAGAACGTTAGTTTTACCGGCCAACGCAAATGATTTGAGATGTAAAAACCTCTGGAATAAACTTCGTAAGGATTTTATTCATAATTCCCATAAATTAACTATCAACAGGCCCAGCGTAATCGCATCAGCTGTAAAACAGGCAGGAAGATGAGTTAGTGAACAAAAACAAATTCTTCAGAAAGCAAAAGAATTCTATTTTACTTCGAATTGCTTTTATTGCGGTAAAAATGCAGAAAAAAGATAGTATATTATATACCGCGGGACTGAAGTAGTACTTTTAATCCCGAAGGTAAAGTTTATGGCCCGACCGAAGGGAGGGCCATAATTTACCTGAGGGATTAAGACCACTACTTCAGTCGCAAGGTATATACGATATTTTTCGTACTTCCGAAACTGAAACACTTAATATGTATGGAGTTAGAGAACGCGTTCTTTCAAAAAATCGTTACTTAACAAGTTACCATAGCAACGTTGCGTTGGTACGACAGACCCTATGCTATGGTAACAAAAATAATTTGGAAACTGTCAGTGCTAGTGTCATAATTTTGGTGGTGGGTGACAAAGGTGTATTTGATATTGATAAAAATCAGTCAAACTAGGTAAAGAATTGATACCTCCGACATCCAAAAAACTATATGAGCAGCAGTGCGATGCGTTTAAGAAGTAGTGCCGCGTACAAAATGTGGAACAACCTACTGAAATTGCCTTGTTAGTAATTTCATCCTTCCGGGATTTTCGTCCAAATTTAATCCCGGCGGGACAAAAAGTGACACTTCAGTACTTGTCATAATGGAGTGAAGTTGTCACTTTAATCTCGGAAGTACGAAAAATAATAAAGATGTTTTAATTAAGGCAGTTAGGCACTAGGAAACAAAAGAAAATATTTTAGCAACATTAAAGAGGAGAGAGAAGACATAAATTTCAAAAACTTTTATTAGCGCGGATCCAATACGTTAATTTAATTGCAAAAAAAGCTATTTATCTACTAAATCAAAAACAATGTATATCTTAAAACTGTTCCCCCAGTTTTTCTATTGGAATAATATTTTTTATTTTTGATTATTAAAATGTAAGTCCTTACGAAAATTTTACTACCCCGCGCACCTCTGTACGAAAAAAAATAGATTTTTCATCCCCTTGAAAAAGAGGTGGTTTTTTTCAGAAATCGTGAGATCTTGGAAACGGTTCAACTTCACGGGCCCCAAAATTATCTCCTTTTTTTTATCATAAAACAAGCTATGTTTCCTCCAAATATAAGAATAGAAAACGAAAAAAACAGTTTTTCCGGTTTTTTCTAGGAAAATTGGAGGTTATGTGAAAATAGTGCAGATACAAAAGTTGGTGATTGTTTTAATCACTATAACTTTTACATTGAACATTTTTGTCTAAAATTAATAGTTTTGCCACAATTTGCAAAACACCACATTCCACCCCTTTTAACCCCCGTGATTTCATCCGCGGAAAAATTCAACTGTTTTAATTATTTTTTCCCAATTTCTAATCATTTCACCTGCCTGAAAAACCCTGTTTCGCCCGATAACTAATTTGTTTTGAAAATAAATTGGTCCACATGCTCTTTCCAGGTTAAAAGTACGTCGATTACCGGGGTTGTCCGGCTTTTGCCAGTTGTCCATGGCATATTTGATTGTCTTGCTATTATCCTGCTTTATTATAAGGCCATTGTCGTTGAACCACCCATCTGCAGCAAATTTTGTTGCGTGTAACTTTCGTTCCAATGCGGCGTGGTTTGGGTCGTGTACTGTCAGTGTCGTATAATCAGCATATATGGGACTACGTGAGCAGATAAGTATTTCGGGAGGTCATTCATGTAAATGATGAAGAACTCTGGCTCCACAACAGATCTTTGCGATACTCCTCTTGTTATTTCTAACCAAGTGCTTAGGTTTCCGTTTAGGGCCCACTGTTTAGACTGTTTTCCCAAGATAGGATAAGTATGAATGTTTTAATAAAAATATACCAATATTAAGGAGTAACTTAGGAATAACTGGGATAATATATTATCTCGGGTCGTCGCAGGTAAAAGTCTCGGTAAAAGTAATGTACGTTTTATTCACCGAAACAGCATCTCGAGAAATAATTCATGGATGAAGGATGGGATTAAAGGTTGTCGCACACTTCCAGAACGAGACAGTTCCCCCAAAAATAGTTAAAAAATCGTTGATTTTAGATAATATAGGGCTGTAATCACAAACCGCCTTTATATAATTTTTAGTGAGAGCAAAGATCTCAATAATATCAGTTTGAGGCGTGGTATGTTGTGGTGAACGGGTCGTGTAGCAAATGTATAAAAGTGGAAATACTGATAGAGCGTTGGAGAGAGTTGGATCGTCCTTCAAATGTCTCACTTTATGCTGATATAATTATGTAGGTATAGGAAAATGAACCAAATTTGAATAATCATCATAATTAATACAAAAATAGGTACGTTTAGAACAGAATAGTAGATTGCCACAGGTAATCATTACAAAAAGCGGTGATTATCACATACCTACTTATATTCTCATCATAAATCACAAATTGCAAAAAATCCTATTTCCGAATGTAACCTCTGATTACCGCGTGCAATGATTGTTAAACAAGAAAGGAATTAACTTTTTTTTCACCTGGCAAACACGCGAAATAGTTTTAGGTTAAATATACATATACACATACTATTCTGAAATGGCGAATTCCAAGTTCAATAAACCAGATTTGAGTCATAGTCTGAGGAAAAAAATTAAACTCGAAAATTGACAGATTTGTAATTGTATGTCAGTTTTGTGACAATTAGGTAACCAAAATGAGGTTCTTGATAATTATTCCATTTGTACCAATGGTTTTAGCGCAAGGGATAATTAATGACTGTGTACAAGACGATGGGTTGATAAAAATCACTAATATTGCCAAAGATGCCGAAGCACAAGCTGACGCGGCTAGGCAAGCTCAACAACTAGCGGCGGAACAAGCCGCATTTCAAGTCAAATCGGCTTTTGCGGATAAAGCAGCCTTAGCGGCGAAAGTGGCGGAGGCGGTTTATTTAGGTAAACAGTCTCTTGTTGAGCAGTTGGAAAGACAATTGGCTGAAGCTCGTGTAGTGCGTACTGAAGAGTCCCAAAATTTAGAAGCCGACAAGAGGAATTTAGCGGCGGCCCAAGCCGCCAGGAACGCGGCAAAGGAAGAATTGGGTGTGTTAGAGAAAGTAACCAATTTAACAAAACAGCTAGTTGACTTGACAACAAATATTGTTAATCAAATTCAGAAGGAAGTCGCAAAACTTGAACGACTACTGAAATCCAGCCAAGCAAAGGTGGAAAAATTGGAGAATAAAACGGAACAGAATTCGCAAGCCTGTATATTATGTGTCTAAAATGTAAATCAAAATTGACATGTCACGTTTTTGGACATGTCTACGTCAGTTTTTATTAAATTATGAAACTTATTGTTCTTTTAATGGCAATGACAATGATTTTTCGGTTGACCAGTGCCGAAGACGATGGTGAGGTTGGAAGGGAGAAATTCACTAAAGCGTGTATTGATGAAAGAGATTGCGATAATAGTGAAATTAACAGTAAGCAGAAAAGTCTAAACATCGCACAAAACGCCGCCATGGAGGCTAAAGCCGCCCAGCAAGCTCAAGGCGTTGCCGCCGAGCAAGCCGCGCACCAAGTCAAACTGCAATTGGCCGAGAAAGCCGAAGAAGCAGCAAAAACGGCGGAGGCCGCCTACTTGGGAAAGCAAAGTATTGTGGACGAGATTGAGCACGAGCTTAAGGAGGCTAAGGTGGTGGCGCAGGAGGAAACTACAAATTTTCATGAGGAAAAAAAGACATTGGTCGCGGCAACTAAAGCTGCGCAGGCTGCCCAGGCCGAATTAAAATTGTTACAACAGGCTCTTAAGATAGCTCAGAGTAATGTGCAGAATGCGGAGCAGGCGGCTAAAGGAGCCGAGATTGAGGTTACCCAAAAGGAGAAGTTAATCGCGGCCGCCAAATCCAGAGTCAATGAGCTTGAAAATCAGTTAAAAGCGGCACAGGAGGATCTAATTGGAACTAAGCAAGCTGCAGAAAAAGCTATTGCGGCGGCGAAAGAGGCGAAACAGGGTGCGGAACGTGCGAAGAGAAGAATACAATTTCGAGGAAGATAAATTGGTTTAACGTGTACGCTGATGTTACTATTGTCTGTATTATTTTGTATATCTTATAGTAGGCTTATACAATAAGGAAATATAAGTGAATTCAGTTAAAATCAAGTTTCAAACCGGCTGGCCGAAAACAGGTATTCTTATAATTGCTAATGCACAAGTAGCATTAGCATTTCAGATGTAGAGTGTGCCTGAGTTTGCTCTCAGTAAATTTTTGGTCGAAAATTTGATATTCGTTGTATCTTATCTAAAATAGAAACCTTTAAAGTTGGCCTTTAATCATCGACTCATATTTTCTGAAACAAGGTTTGCTTTGCTAATGTCCGTACTGCAAGGTTAAGATTAAGCGATTGCTAAGAGTTCGTTGTAAAGCTCCGGAAGAAGAACCGGGTGCTGCAGTGTACATCTGAAGAAAACCCCCGGGCAGAACAGTTCGCGGCGGGATTCGAACCCAAAACCTCCTGAATGCCGATAAAAGCATCAACTGCGCCACCCACTTCCGTGGACAGATTGGGTACGGCTGCTCCCTATATACCCACCTTTGTTGTAAGGGATAGGCGGTAATGGGGAGCGTTCCGACACGTTAGCACGCAGTGCGCCATCACAAATTCCTTCTATTGGTATTGGTACTACTGATACTTTTGGGGGATACTGCAAATCAAAGAGGAACATTTCCAAAATTCGAGGAAGTGAGGGATGAATACATTCATCCAGAGGTACGAACAACTATTTCTCGAAAATGAATCGTTATTTTCAATCACACTATGCATGCATGCTAAATTACAATACAACATCATTGATAGATGTTCCTCTGCTATGATAGTAGAATTTCTTTCAAAACAGAGGAGGATTTAGAAAAATCGTTTCATAAATAGCCATTTTAGCATCTCTTTGTCAAATACCCTTTTGAGGCATCCAGACAATGTCGACAAAATCGATCTATAAATGCCGATTTTGACTCTTTTAACTACCCATTTAAAACGGCGATAAAACCTGATCAGGGGAGAAACCTCAAATGGCGAACGTCATAAAATCCCTTACAATATTAATTTCATAACGGACGATCAAAAAAAGGTTGACGTTGGAAGTTCAAGTTAAATATGATTTCCCATGTATACAAAATCCAAAGGTGACTCGACAGCAAATCTTTTTTGAGGGCATAGCATAGTACAACCTTCTAGTTGTAACAGGTGGTCGCCTAGCCGTTTTCCAAAATTATTTTTTCGAAGTGGTATTTTATTCAACATGGGAAAATGGACATATGTACCGCTTCATAGCGAACGTCAACGAAAGTATGTCTAGCGATAACCGGCGATAACAACAAACGCATTGCGGAAAGCGAGGGTTGTTGCCATGATCTCCCTGAAATTGAACTCGGTGAAGTTATAAAAGCAGGCGCGTGCCATTTTGTGTACGAGATATTTTACTTTGTATATTTGCGAGGATTTCCGGCGAACAAAAATTCAAGAGCCACCACGCACAGTTCTTGTTGTAGTAGAGTTGTTTTACTTACTTCTTTTTTTGTCGCTTGAGGCTATCCTAGTGGTAGAGGTTCCTTTTACTTACTTCTTTGTCTTGTTAGAGTGCACGCTTTGTACCTTTCTGCACTTAATTATATCCACTCTTTTCTCTCTGTTTGTGCACAGTTGTAGTTCTCTTCCTCTTCAGTGAAGTTTCTACCGTCGAACTGATTAGATGCAAATTTTAGTTTTTCACGTCATTACTTTCTTAACTTCACCTCTACCTGAAAATGGCTTAGTGTTTTTGCTTTTCCATATTTATCTTTGAAGTGACTTCTTTCTTTCCCTTTGATGTCTTGGTGGCACCATTGAAACGTTTTACGGATCTGTGTTTTGCAGTTAAACAATACCAGGTATGTTAATTATGACAGCATTTTTTCCTCATTACGTGTTATTTTTAGGGCTTTAACTTTCTTCGTCTTTCTCTTACAAGTTTCTCTTACATTCTTACCATTACTTCTTTGGATTACCTTTTACGTTGACTTACTTGGATATTCCGCAGTACGTGGACGATTTAGTATTTTTAGTTGGACCCGCCATTTTAGCAAAAGTAACGAACGACGCGTGGACGTTTCTACATTACCGACTTGGCAGAATTACTCGCCATTTCAGAGTAACTAAACCGCTGATTCCACTAACATTGACCTATTTGGACTTTATACCTGGAAAGATCGTTTCTATAAGCGCAAGTATATTTACGAAACCTTGGATATTATTAGTGTTTTAAGGTTTGGATTTAGAGAATATAGGCAACTGGTGATGCACATGTAATTCAATGGGGCGTGCATTGCCTCTGAACTTCATTCACCATTTCATAAGCAAGGGGTGTATATGATCGGAAAAATATGTATTAGGTAGATAGATGTACAGAGCATAGTTTTCCATACAATATAAACTGATATTTTGTCCATTAATATATGTTTAAAAAATCTAGAAAACATGCGTCAAAAGAGTTCATAGTTTAGGAATTAATTGCAAAAATTAGGGAGCATTTTAAGCAATACGAGTGTATGGGATCGGTAGCCTGAATACTTATCTATATTTTGGCAATTCATGTGAAGCTCAAAAGTTTTCATAATAAAAGTGGTGAATGAAGTTCTGAAAAATGGGCTTGTAAACTGGCGAAATGGAAATAAACTACGCAACTGTGACTAATATCGCGGTCAACAGTGTAGCTTCTTTCTCACAGAGGGTGCCACCAAGAGTTTTATGAAATCAGTAAAAAATACGATAAAGACATATGAAATAAGCGCTTATATCTTGTGATGGACTCGTTCTTACTTTTTAACTAGGCTAGTACTGTGTAATGGGGATAATAAAACACAAAAATTTACGAGCAAAAAAAACTAGCAGGCTATGTAAGTTGCCTATGTTAAATCATTTAGCGATTCTCTTTCAAGGTTGAACAGAGCGTGTAATAGTAGAATTTGCTGACAGCAAAAAAAAGATCGTTCACTGGGATATTTTTATTTTGTCAACTCCTTGCTTCGATATTTATTTGGTTTCCCTTTCCTATTCATTGCAAACGGTGTACCCTCTACCTATCGTTGTATGAAATAAATAATAGAAATGAGGATAGGTGACATTCCTTTACAACAAATATCAAAATTTTACGTTATTTTTAGAACAAAGGGTTGTTGTGTATTGTTGTTGATGTTTGGCAAGCGACGACCTTGTGTGGGTGTTTTTTGTAATGCGATTTGTTTGACCGTCTCCCTTATTCTTTATCTTTGCTTATTGCAGATTAAAATACCGTAAGTTTATAATCCATACCTTGTTGCAAATTAAATTTTTTGAACTTCAATAGTATCATTGAATAAAGCTCTTTATTCAATGATAGTACCTTTTATATATTAGTATTAGTTTAGTGTAATGTGTAATAATTGACCTATACAGGGTGATTCAAATTCGAGGGCCACCATGGGGATCTCGGGAACTGTAAGAGATAGGTAGGTAGTTTACATTTGACAAAGTTGCGTATTTTTTATGCTTAACAAAATCCAGTTTTGGAACTGAAAAAATTCCGATTACTTTCGGAGAAAAACGAAATTTTGCATAATCGTTTTTATTTTTTACTGAAGTTATTAAAAAATATATTTCAAAATAAATGACACATTATTATGACTTTTTTCCCTCTACAAGATGCTACTTTTAAATTTTAAGTATGACGTTTCGTCTCCAGTCAACCATCTTTGTTTTTTCTTATGGAAGCAATTTTGAATTTTTGTGTCATTTAATAAAGAATTTTTTTCTGATTTCAAAAATATAAAACATCATCTATTTTTAATAAGAAATAACGCTATTAATTCGTAAAAACGCAAGAAACTACTACGTACGTTACATACCTGAGGCTACGTACTTTGTTTTTGTCGACACCAGATTTTGTTTACATTACTTTCTAATTACTACGAAGATTCATTTCTGTTAGTTTGATTGCATTGTCCGAAGCCGTAGCTACGATTCTTGGCTACGTTGTTTGTTTACGGCCAAAACTCGGCTCATATTATCTTGTTTATGGTTTGAATTGATTAGATTGCATTGTTTTGATAAGAAATTTCGTTATTTGTGCATCGTAAAGTATTTTTCTTGAATTGACCGTCACGGTTGTGCTGCTTATAACGCTCCCAATTTTCCACGGCTACGTGAATCGGGGTTGGAAAATTGAGAGTTCACAAGTGCTGGTTCGGGTAGCTCAATTCGCAGCAGGGTTCGGTAGTAAAACCAGTTGAAAGCGGAGATCGCTTAATACATATATTGTTCTTCAATAAAAAAAAAAAAATTAAATCACAATGTAAATAAAGGTACGCCTCTGTGGACTGCCTCTGCACGTCACTGGATCTGACCGAAGTTGAACGGTCAGTGCGACACTTCCAGTGGATGCTGGACACTGGGGTTTCCGCTTCGGTTTGTTATATTCCTTTAACAATCGGAAGGATAATTAACACATAAATAAATTAAGAGTAATTAAGTGAATGTTTAAACAATAGGTGAGGGACCTTATTGATTATTATTTAATATAATATTATGGGGGATTCTATCTATATAGAATTCCCATACAAAAAAAATGAAACGGGTTCTAAACAAAATTGACTGGACGTAATAAAATGAAATGGGGTTCTTTAATTAACTCAACAAAAAGTATCTGGATAGGGATTAGTACTAAAGCAGGATGGTTCTCAGGACTTAGGTACGCCCTAAGATACCAAGAGTTTGGGGAAGGTTTAGGATAACAGGTGTGAAAGTTGACCAGGTACACAGTACCAGCCGTGAGCTTCTGGAAGTAGTTATCGGGAGTCAGACCGTAGGTGCAAAGCACCGGCCTAAGCTTCAGGAAGAGCAGGAGATCTGGAGGGTGGTTCTGGTAAAAGGTTTTGAGCTATAGGAAGGTGATCTCAATCAGTCCCTCTCACAGACGGGACACTCGCTTTTATATTCAACGGCTGGTTACGTTTGGGGGAATCTTTGGAAATGGTAATCGGGAAGGGACTAACGGGAAGTGGTATTTGATATGATCGGAAAGGTAGGTGGCGGCATCTCACGGAACTTCACGAAAATAGTTTTCATCATTTCTTCCTAAAATGATTATAAAAAGTATCATAGTTGGATTCCTTACATGCTGTTGTACTGGGACTGTAAAGACAGTTGTAGTTGAT